TAATAACCTCTCATTAGTGGTTTCCAGAAACCAACAGGACTGGGACAAGAAATTACCACTCTTTTTACTGGCTTACCGCAGTGCTGTCCACGAGACTACCGGCTATTCTCCATCACAGATGCTCTTCGGTCGTGACCTTCGTCTGCCTTGTGATCTATTGTTTGGCCGCCCTCCGGATGCTCCTTCATCGTCTGAGGAATATATTCAAGATCTCCAGGCCCGGTTTGAAGTGATGCACAACTTTGCACGAGAGCGAGTCAACTTGGCGACGGAGAAGATGAAGACCCGCTACGACACAAGAGCTACTGAACATCAGTTCCACGAAGGAGACAAGGTGTGGTTGTGGAATCCGACTCGACGGAAAGGACTTTGTCCGAAATTACAGTCACCTTGGGATGGCCCGTATACAGTCCTAAAAAAGACTGAATGACGTCGTGGTTCGGATTCGTAAGTCTTCGAACTCTAAACCTAAAGTCGTTCATTACGACAGGTTAGCTCATTACTATGGCCATAGTACGTAATGTAAATAATTGTAAATAGTATCAGACCATGGTCCTTTTTGTTTATAAATGTGTATTTGATTTGATTTGTATTTAGTATTTGATTTGCATTTAGTTTTGATTGTATTTGTATTTGTTTGTATTTGTATTTTTTGTATTTTATTTGTTTTGTATTTAGTATTTGATAGCATTTGATTTGTTTTAAGTTAGTTATTGCATTTATGTTTTTATGTTGTTTGATATTGTAATGTAATGTTTATGCCTCAGTTGCATTTATGCCACAGTTGTAAGTTTAGCTTCCTGTCCAGGGATTGTACTGCCCGGGACGTGCAGTCCTTGGGAAGGGGGCAGTGTTACGAATTTGGTATTTAAAAAGCTAATGTTAGTTCAATTATAAATTAAATGGTTTTATTTCTCGCGCAGTGCAGCGCGTGACGAATATTAAAAGAAAGCTAAGCCGGAAAAATTAAAAATACAAGAGCGCGTGCATTAAATAAATAAATATCTCTTTTTGATTTCGAGAAAGTACTGGAAAATTCTAGCGCGTGATTTTAAAATCTTATAAAAGGAGGAAAACATCTCAGTTTGTAGTAGTTGCTTAGTTTGTTGTTGTTTAGAAAACTGCTCTTGTTGATTGTAGCGAATTCGCGGATTAGCGTTCTTTAGCTGTTTTGAATTACGTTCTATTGGATATTTGAGTAGTTAAAAGATATCTACTGTGAGATATTGTAATACTGCATGATAATTTGAGAAAATTTAAGCATTTTTGTTGTGATAATAATAAATTTTTGTTCATTTTTCATCGGACTTGTGCATTCATTTCATAACGAACCCGTACGCACGCAACAATATTAATTATGTCACTTATTTTACATGTAGAAGTAATAAAAAACCATGCTTTTCGCCTCTTTTTTTAATAATTGAGTAAGCGTATTTCTCTTTAGATAGCAAGAAAATATAGCCTTCGATTCACTGTTTATTTTTAGCGACATTTCAAAGAAAATAATATTCTTAATGCTGCAGACGATAATTAAACGTTATTTCAATTGGATGCCAGTCACGTTTGTATTTTAAAAGGTATATTTAAATTCATGGAGCAAATCAAAATCGCTACAAAACTTTGATGAAACCTGAATTATGCTGCATCAAGCTCTTCTGTTTTTATTTTGTTGATTACTTATTGATTTTTTTTATTTATTAGTCCACAGAGGCAATTTGCCTAGAAGGACTATTAATTTCGCTTTGGAATTTTGCGTCGATTCACTATAAACGTTGTTTCCCTTTTCAAGTTGTTGCCGCCTTCACTGTGTTATATTTAAAGAAATTAAATAATGAAGAATCTGTATAAATGCATGTATGTTTCTCCCACTGTGATAAAAAAACGGTACCCAGAGCCATCCAATTTTGAATAACGCAATCCTCCTGAGAATATGGGCATCTGGAAGCTCAAATCTGAAATTTGGAATTTGATTTATTATCAATTTCTTATTTTATAAAACTTTAACGAATTTTTGATTAACAAACTCAAACATTTCGAAGCGAGCAATGGCAACTTTGTACAGAAAAAAAACTTTTTTTTTTATCTTAGCGCGCGAGACTGTGTATCGGAAATTCTAAAGATATGCTCATTTTAAAATTATTTTGCAATATTGCTCTTGAACTTAATTTTATGATTTAAGTGTGAAGAACATGATATTTAATAAATAAACGTAACACACAAAATGTTAAAAAACTCCCCTTTGGAAGCAATTTAAAATCTGAACCATTTCAGTTTTTTTAACAGTTGCTTAAATTTTTAAATAAAAGCAAACTGGAATGTAATTACTTTGCATAATAGCACTGCATTTTTCAATATTATTTGCAACATAGATTAATACTGTTATAAAGTTGTTAAATATATGCTTACGCATCTGGTGGATCAACGGATGGTCTTCTGGGAAAAACTTAGCAAACTTCATTCAGTCAAATATTAAAATGTGACAAATGTGATTGCCATCATATTTAAAAAAGAATACATCAATGCGAGAAAGTTGTTTTGAAATGTAAGCATCACATGTCTACAGGCGCTGCATAAGACCACAACGAAAATAATATGATGCAATCGGATACGCCTCTTTTAACTGCAACCTCGACTGAACGCTGTGCTCCGTTTAACCATTTAATTACATGTGCATAAAATTGGCCTGCCGATAAAACTGCTGGAGTTTCTTTGCAAATTTTAAGTATGACTTTTCTAAGCAGGCCTTCTGGTTTCGTGATAATATGCATATTAATTACAGAATGGGCCACTGCTTCCCTGTGGGATGAAGTAAGAAGTTTATATACTTTTAATGTGACGCAATTTTTCTTACAATTTAATTTATTTCGGTTTTTGCTGGCAAACTTATCCAAATCAAAAATGAAAAATAAATAATTAAACCTTTTTTCTTTGTATATGGTTGCGACATCAAGGCATTAATGATTTAGTGAGAACGCAATTTAGATCATGATTGCGATGTAACGCTATCGAGACCAATTTTTCATTTTAAGTACTTTTAAGTTCAAGAAATTTGACTTGATGTCGGAGAGTTCTTAATCTTTTCCAAAGTCTTCCCTTTTTACTCAACTCAAGATACTCTCATATACCCATATTTCTGTCCTACCTCAGCTTTTGAAAGAAATTTATTTATTAAAAAAATCTTTCCACTTGGACAGAGATTAAATTAAATACATTTTTCTTAAATCAAGGAGTTCGGATCTGAACGCTTTGAGATGATAAAAATAGGAAAAGTTATTGCACCGAAGAAAGAAAATTTATAAAACAACTTTGTTCCCCAAAGCACTAAAAATGTTTTTAAAATGGAGTGGAATAAATTTAAAACCATTTATATTCCTTTTTGCAATCCAATTAATTACGCCACAACTATTTCATTTCAAGGAAAAACTTTTGTAGCAGACATCGCGATACACTTTAGCTTAGATAAATACCATTTTATGCAGTAATTATTTTGTTTAATAAAGAAAATTAACGTAATTGGGAAACGATCTTTACGTTTAGTCATTAATCAAAATATACGCATATTCACAGACTAGGACATCTTGTTAACCTTAAAAATGCTTAAAAATATTTGGACATGACTTGAAATGCATTCTTAAACTTAATTCAAATGATCTTTTAAAGATGTTTTCAAACAAATAAATCACAGAAGTATATTTTTTCTGCGTAGAGAAAAGGTTTGCTAAAAATGAGCATAAATATAAAGAAAGCTATTTAAATATTTGTGCAATTGCTTGACCAAAAATTTAGCAAATGAAAGTGCATCATATATTGACAACACTTTTTGCCAACAGAAATTAGTATATTTTTAAGTTTACTTATCCTGCGAATCAGGAAAGTTAAGTTGATAGCAAATTTAATAATGTCGGAAATAAATAATTGTATGTACATTTACATAGCGTCTTCTAATCACTTGAGTATGTTTTTCCAGCTACAACAAATTAATCCATGCAATTCAGTTTTCGCTATGCTTGAGTAAAATTCGTTATTTGACAAATATATGCAAATCTAACTAAGCTAATATAAATTCAAAATTTTGCTTTATATTTATATGCGTCAGAAATTTTTTTTACACATTTTTAACTTTCCCTCTTAATTTTCATTCATCATCTTCTTTATGCTTTTATAGTCTCAATGCTGCAAAATACGAGATCACCAATTATTAATTTATATGCTGTATGCATATGTCAGATGCATGCTTAATTCTATTTCCAGATCACAACTTATAATATTTTTAATTCTAAGTACAGGTTTTAAGGATACATTCATGCAATGATGCCTTATTTATCTGAATTTAAAGAGGTATTCGTCGAATGAAAAGTTAAGATAAGTTTATTTTAAAGCACTACTTTCAAAATCGTTGCTATAGAACAAAGTTGTCATAATGAATTTAGAGCTATATTTTCAAAAGATATATTTGACACTTGCACTCCGTATTTACTTATTAATATCTAAATAATTTCATAACTCTTTGAAGGCCAACACACCCTAGGCAGCCACAACCACCACAACCGCTCGAAACGGCGGAGATTGCTGTGATATTTTATTCACTTCCCTAAAAGTATGCAGTGGGGAGGTGCAGTTTTCCTAAACGCATTTGCCTTCCAGCGGCCGAGGGGTAAAATCACTGAACACTGGTGGTTCGGTCCGAGGCTCGAATCCCGCGAATACGTTGGTTGAATGTGAGTTTTGATAGTTTTCACCATGTTTAACGTGTATACGAGCTAGTTCTCTTAGAAAGTCCTCCATGAAGGCATCCCTTCCTTTAACCAAGTAGCCCTCCAGACTTTGCTCTAATCACATAAAACCAAGCGAAACCCAAATGCATTTTATCAATTTATTGCAAACAAAAGTCCTAAAAGTAGGAGTTAATGACAGAGTCTTTGACCTAAAAAAGGCTAATGGAAGCTTCTTTGTTAGGAAGTAGAAAAAATGTCATTAGAAATCTTCCCATCTGTGTATTAATGGGCGGGGAGCGAGGGAAACTGACCGGAAGGGTCATCGACGGCACGGGCTTTCGGTATCTTAAGCATACAGGTTAGTGAATGTTTCGGTTTACTAAAGAGGTTACCACTTAAAGCAGCAATCCCTGCTAGACCGGATTTTTCTGAGACACAAGATTCGGTTAGCACTGATTTAAACGGGAGGAGTCGTAGAAAAAGGAGCCCCGATGTAAGCGAAGTCCCGCCTAGCTACGGAAACGATGTTGCGGCTACGTGAGATTTTTTAACACCTCACCGTAAATGTCTCGGATGGGCCTCTGTCGCGGGTAGAGATCAACCAATCAAACGAAAATCCTGCTTCTGAAGTATCACGTGATCCCAGTCTGAGCGATAATCGATTGCCGTTTGGCGTTCAAGTCTTTGTGGTAAGTGAAAATGGTAACCTAGCTACGTGTATTTCCTGGAAATGTGCGGGTTCTGAGAATTGTCCCTTTCGACGTCCAGTCCCGCGTAGTCGAAACGTAATGTGATTAGAACTTTAGAGTTTAGAAGACATAAATAATATAGTACTTGATAATACTTTCAGTTCCACTAGCCATGAAATACTGTAAAAAGTGTTTGTTTCGTTTTAAAGAATTTCTAGTAATACTCTCCAAATAAGTATTTGTTTCTTGCATGGCACTAGCTTTTAAATATAGAGTTCATTTCATTTGACCTTTACTCCTTTCTGTTCATTCTTAAGTGCAACACGCAGGTAGTTCTCTAGCGTATTGCTAAATTAATCTAATCTACGAGTAAATATATGGGCAACTATTAGTACTGATGAAAACTGAGTGTTTCTTATATTTCAAGGTGAGAAATGTTTAGCTATTTCCTAAATGCAGAATTTAAAGCTTAGATGTTCAGCCATATATATTTTTAATACAAATGTATTAATGTGCCTAATATTCAATGTTGCAATAAAATTTCATTGTTCCAGCTTCGACAAATTTAGAATTATTTCATCTTCTTAGAAATCCAAGACCATTCTGGAGAGGTAGGTTTTCTAATTTTCTCCTTTCTGAAGCAGTTCCTAAATGTATATTAATCGACAACTCTTGCTCTTTTGGGCTATTGGTAGTAAATTATAGTATTAATCTTTCAGACTTATTATGATTTTGTGCAAAACACGTTATTGTAAAAAATAGTTGGTCATATTTTGCTGTTTTCCAATTGATTGGTACATTCCATTGTTAACAATTAAAATAATGTTCGGAATACAGGAATTTAGGAAAAACATTTTACATTACTTGACATACCAAAAAAAATATTTTAGATGGAAAATGATGAAAATATTTTTCGGGTAAAACCTTTCTGCCTGCAAAATTTGTAGTTAATTAACAAGATAGCAAACATTAAAATGTGAGAAAAAAGAAGTTCTAAATATTAGAAATTTCTAATAGAGAATTTTCTAATGCTATGATATGAAAATGTACCTTGATATTTCTCTTTGAGTCACATGCTTCATAGACAGAATCTTAAGATTAATTAATTAAATCTATAAGTTTTTTTAATTAAAATATGCTATTACTTAACATTTATTTGAAAAGAATCATAATTTTTTGCTTTGTTATTTTGCATTAAATTATGGAAATTTTATGAGTTATTATTCTAACAAATATTAATTTTAATTTGGCTTGGAAAAAAATATCACATCTTTTCCATAATTTGTTGTTTTACAAAACTGGAGATAAAACGAAGATCATTCAAGACGGTATAGTCGAGAGGTGACCCTCGGTCATTACTTGATTTGATGCGGGAATTTAAGAGGCGACTCTCAAATACCACGCATTTTGACGCAATAGTTCGAGTGGGAACGATGTTTGTTTAGATTTGAGTTCAGCAATACCTTTTCATGAGTATATTCAATTCATGAGTGTATTCAATTCATAACATGAATTATTCAAGAGTGCATTCACTGTTTCGTGTATGTATACGTTTGACGAGTGATATGCGTATAAAACAATTACCAATCTTTAATCTTAAATACATTTTTATAGATTCATTGTTAAATTTGGGTCTTTGACGTTAGTTCGAACTCGACAGTCCTTGCAATAGGGATATTATTGTCAAAGGTATGGAACAATGAAGGAAAACAATGAAGGAATCAGTTCATTGTTTGGTTGGTAAAGAATGAAATTACGTCTATGCGTAGACTATTTGACGTTAGAGATAAGGAAAGCAGCGATGAAGAAAGAGGTATAAGAAGGCGAAGAATTAAGGTAATAGATAATGAATGTGAAAGTGACACTGATTCTTCAGAAGAGACAGAATTCTACAAAAAAGCCCATACAACCGGCCTGTTCGCTGGGATAATTCTTATAAAAAAACTGAAACGGAACTGCAAATAGCAGAAGTAGCCGATTAAATGTATTCTGAGCAAGGGATTTCCCAGCCAATGAGTGATGTCATGGTACTGTTTAATTTTCAGAATCACACTGGTGAAATTAAATTGAATAGTGATAATTAGATTTGCTTTCTGTACAATCATTGAAAAATTATTAGACTGATTAGTCATTTTATGAGATATCATAAGTTTCATGTACAGAGGGATAATTTTGGACTCGATCGTGTGTCCAGGTAGATTCGGAATTAAGATTTAGTCTTATGTGTAAACGTCAAATCAGATTGTGCCAAAAACGCAGATGCATCGTGACATTCATATGGAAATTAACTGATATTAAATACTGGAAGAAGAAAGTTTCGGAATTGCGAATGCTAGTCGGCAAAACATTTTTCTGGTAATTACTCCCCTTTTCCGCAAAAGCAGCATTTTCAATAAATAATTTATTAATAGAAGGAAATAAAAGATTCAGCTGCTTTTGTTTTCCTGCAAAAATTTAAATATTTTAATGTGAAGGAAAATTTGCCTTTAAAACACTGGAAATGCTGTTCATTCTAATTCGATAGCATCACATTAATACATATATCCATTAGTATCAATGCATTATTGTCAACATGTATCAGGAAATGACGAAGTCTTTCATTAGCTAACAAACTGATGCATCGCTGGCAAAGCATTTTTTCGGCATAAAATTGTTTAAGTGCTTAAAAATGGCAATTTTTAAGGAAATGTCAGGAAACTATGGTAGATGAGGAACAATTTCTTATCCTAAATTGATAATTTGCTTCATGAGTGTTAGTGTCATTTATGCGCCTATGTAGTCCTGAAGTAACATAATTTCATGTCTAATCACAAATGCGTGATGAATAAGGTATAATTTTTCTTGAAATTGTCCCATATAGGAATAATATTAGGCTACCTTTATCATTAAACTCATGGGGGGGGTGATTAGTGAATAGCACCACCACGCGTTAAAGAACGTTTCCTTGGATGCAGTTGTACCTTCAGGATATTTTCTGGGGCACCATTCACTTCCAGCCACCATGTATGATTATCGTAGAATATCTACCTCTCATCCACAGTTGAAATTTGTTGTAAGAACATTCCATTTTACCTGTTAAAAAAGAAGGAAAGCATCGAACATACTTTGATTTTAACAGCGAGTTCGTGAACTCGTGGAACCAACTTGTGGAACTTCCTTACTGTACCTGTTTTTGTTAAGTGTCATGAAACAATTGAAACGTAAGTATTGTATTTATTGTCTGGACAGTCTATTGTTAAATGTTTAGTGGATCTTATTCGATAAATTCATTTAATTCTTTCGAATCAGTGGAAGAAGTGTAAAGGTTCGTATCCTAGCCCTAAATTTTCGATAAGAAATTTTACAAATAATGATTAGTGGATATACCATTAGTTGTTTTCAAACTAAAAGCTTGTTGCTAATATATGGGGACAATGCCTGCTGCAGCAAACATTTGTTAAATAACTGGTATCCCGTATACCTATACCTATACCTACATATTATATTAAAAGTTTACCTGACGTTCTTAAATATTGCAGACATATGAGAATTTCCAATTTTGATTTTATAGCAGTCATAAATGATTTAGTTTCATGCTTGATTTGATATCCATAGCATTCGATGTTTAATAATCATTGAATGAAGCAAGTATTAACGTTGAATCACTCACGCGTGACATGGTCAATTTTCTTTAAAAAAATGCATAAACCTCAGTGTCAAGTTTCCTTCATAACAAGTAGATATTTTACATCACTCAAGAGCTCTTTCATCCGCAAGAGCTTAATAAAATAAAGAATAAAAAAAGGTAGATAACTTAGCTTTTTATGCTTGAAATAATGAATGGGAAGTAATAGAATCCGATATGGTATAATTATAATGTCACCCGTTTAAACGATAATTCACTTTTATCATAATGAAATACTTCGTTAAGAATATTTTTAATTTAAGATTATTTTTGAAATGTATATTCATTATTTAACCTGTGCCGATCTCTGTTTAGGTGCCGTGTGATACTTACTTCCAACCGAACAACTGCGATCTGGACAAGTAAGTACAGTTTTTTAGACTGGAATGTACATAAACAGACACGTTTTGTTAACTGATGATTTCTTGTTTAATTGATTGGCGATGATTTTTCTTTAGAGAAAGATAAATCTCAAAAAATTAATGTTGTGCTGTGCAATATTATTGATATTCTGTAATTAATAAACTTGAGGAGGTGTTATTAATAAATTAATAAACTGGAAGCCATTGTGGCCTTCTTTCCTATAAAAGGACATACTATATACCGTTTCCACAAAAGTCTTTATCCGGCCTGTATTTTAGCAACCATTGATAGGAGACATACATATTTCCAGTTACAAAAATATTTTAAGCGACGCAAGTGTTCCTGTTCTGGAATTTTTAATGTAAAGCTCCACCGCTGCTTAAATGCGCAGAGGCAAAGAAACTAAACAGGGAACCAAACCGTTATTTGAATTCCTGATGGTGATTAACAACGATAACCTCAAAGTAATTGATTGCTAATCTTTTCAGATTATCCTAAGGCCTTTTTATCTTTTTTTATAATTTTATTATTTTACTCACAGAGATCGAAAACTTTAAACTTCTGCGCATATATAAAAGGTGCTTCCGAAAGATATTCGTTAAAATGTAGTTTTGATTAAAAATCTACATTAATAATACATATATTTAGTAGTTGATTACAAAAAATGCATAATATGTTATATGAATGGAAGTGAAGTTATATATGAAATAGGTAGTATAAAAACAACTCAATAAATTTTCAGATGATATAATACAAATCAGAGTTTCCATATATAACACTTGCTTAGCACAAAGCTTAAGTTAAGTAGTTAAATTATTCAAATGATATGCCTAACATATCTATATAAGGACTGAACATGGTAACTTATAAGAAAACATATCTGCAAATAACACTAAAACATTAATTAATGCAATGAAAAATTGTATAAACAATTCCATTGGAAGATAACTATTAACAATAATATAAATATTAAAAATAAAAATAGTCGCTCTTAGTAGACTGTAAAATGGAAAATAGATTTCAAATACGTACTTTATAAGGATGAATATCCTGAAATTTGAATTAGTATGCATTGATAAACTGTAGAATTTAAATAACTTACCGGTGACTAAGCCTTTTCAAAAATACAGTTGAAAAAGAATGTTGTTGTTGTTACCAATCTCAATTTACTGACAAAGGTCAGCATATCGTGGCAAGGAGTCAAATGGACCTGCTATTGGCAAGAACCTTGAGCTCCATATGGGTGACAGCATGACTTTGGATTCACTTGACTTAACCCAAATTTTTAGAGAGCACGCCGGAGGGGGACGGAAGCAAAGGCCTCTCGCCATTCTTCCTGTATCACAAACCTCTTAATATGCCTTTAGACTCGAGGTATATTCAAAGTGCCCCCATGCCGCACAGACACTATACATTTACAAACACTAACGGCTTTCTGAGATTCAAACCCCGGCCCTTCGATACGGCAGTCAGTATAGCCAACTACAATCCCGGTTGGGAACCGTTAATATAACTAATATATAGCTATAAGGAAGTTATTTGTTGAGCCGTGATGAAAGATCACGAGAGAATTTTGAGCTCAACATGGCTTGAAGTCTGGAAAGAGACAATCATTATCACCTATGAGACAGTTCAGAAGTCCGTGCATCTTATTTAGTGAATTTATTTTAAATAAATATGAGGAAGTATCTTTTTTCTATGCATGAGGCAATTCAGAAGTTACGGTTACTTATTTAGCTAATTCACTACATTGACATCAACCGTGTTATTGAGATCTTTTTGGGGGTTTTCTTTAACATGCATCATTTCGTTATAAGCATCTTTCTAATTCATTGCATTCTCGCTAACATATAATTTTTGCCAGTTAAAATACAATTCTGGAAGCTATAATCATCAAGCATGATGTCTACAGTACGTACAACGCCTAGGCATGCTGAGTATCAAATTATCGATCTAATCTTGGGAGATAATACACCACTCAAAAAGCAATGCTCTACGAAGTTCCGGTAGACATGTAGGAGGAGGTTGACGGGCTGCAACTCGTCGGACAAGCATATCCCACACGTGCTGTACTGGATTCAAGTCTGGTGAGAATGCTGGCCAGTCCATACGGATGATATCCTCCGATTGAAGGCATTCGCACGGTGAGGACGGTAGGATGTTTGCACGGTGAGGACGGGCGTTGTCATCCATAAACACAAATTGTGCGCCCATGGCGCCCCGAAACAAACGTACATGTTGTTTCAGAATAACGTCCCAATAGATTTGGCTTGTTATGGTTCCAATTTGAACATGCAGGTCAGTTCTAGAACCTAGAATATTTCCACGCCAAACGAGCACTCCTGCACCACCGTAACGGTGTCTTTCAATGATGTTTTCTTGGTGGTAACGGGTACCTGAAGCTCTCCATATGAAAGTCCGGCGAGAATCAGACTGCAAGCTAAACTTGGACTCGTCGGAAAACATCACACAAGCCCACTGTTGCGGTGTCCACGATGCATGCTCTGTACTCCAGGCTAACCGCAGGCGACAGTGAGTTGCAGTAAGTGGAACGCATCTGACAGGTCTACGAGCATATAAACCAATCTGCCCTAAGCGTCTGTACACGGTCTGCCTTGAAATTGTCGTACCAGTGGCTGAAGAGAGCTGACGAGACAGGTCTGAGGCTGTGCTCCGCCTGTTTCTTTTGGCAGTGACCGCCAAATGCCGGTCCTCATTCCGCGTTGTAACTCGACCTGTGCTGTAACGTCTACTCACATTACCATCATCTTGGAATCGTTGCCAAAGCCTGGAAATGACACTCTGGGCAATTCCAAGTTCGTCTGATACTTCCAGTTGGGTACGCCCACATTCCAGACGGCCGATAATTCTACCACGTAAAAAATCATCCAAATGCGTCCTTTGTGTCATAACTATTCGGTTATTGCACTGAAATGCTTATAAAGAGCCTGCGAACAATTTTACTTCTTTGCCTGTATTCCTTATATATCACTCTCTTACACCCTCGTCATTGTGACGTACCATCGGTGTCATCTGGTTACTTCCTGAAATTTGAATATGATTCTTCAAGATGTGTGTAGTGATTTTACAGGTGATATATTTATTTTAGAGTTCGATTTCCGCGTGACTCCGAATTATCCTTAATTTATCGACATGAGTGTATATGCATATTAAGAAATTTGATTACTGTAAATAATGTTAGTATGTGTGTATTAAAGTAATAATTTAACATGTGTGTCTTAAATTGTAAGTTAAAATAAGATTTATTTAATTTTATCTTAAGAGAAGTTATTTAGACCATTTAATTATCTACCTCTTAGAACCCCCTTACCATAACTCTCATATAGCGCCATTTTACAAGTAAGCGTTTTTTTTTTTTTTTTTTTTTTTTTTTTTTTTTTTTTTGTGTGTGTGTGTGTGTGTGTGTGAAACTCTTCCAAAGACGCAAATCCTACATGAGGTGATATTGTACTCGAGTAAATAATGTGTAGCAAAATTAAAACTACTGAATGTGTCTGAAAATTGCACTATAATTGTTTGAAAATACGAACATTGAATTTTTTTTCATAAACGAAGAATTAAATGCGCTATATTCAGTAGATAATTTGCTATGTTAGTCAAAAAAAAAACCTGGGGTTTGATATATTTTCATCTAAATTTCCCAATGAAATTTTATTGACTTGTTGAACCGTTTTCAGTACCACCGTTTCAATACAATATAGTTCCAATTATATGTTGCTTTAAACTTATTTGATAAAAAACCGTTTTTAAATCCCATTATCAAACTGGTATTTCTTTTCATCTCTGATATGATTTTACCCAGTTTTGTTTGTTTTGTATTATTTTTTGTTGTTTCGCCGCGTTTTGTGTTCTTTTCCTTTTGTTATTCTCTTGTTTTATAAATGTAGTTCATTTTTTCCTATCCTTTCGTTTTACTGTTTCGCGACTCCTTTGAGTGAGTGACATTTCTTTCTTATCATTTTTATAGTTTCACGGAACTCGATTTATTTTATGAAGCAATCAGTTGTATCGCGTTATATATATACGCATTGTATTTGGTTTTCCATATCGTGTTCTAACCATTGTACCGTGCTCTCAGCGTACGTTTGCTTCGCTTGATCGAATTTCTACTTTTTATTTCTTTAAATATTGCACTACTTCACCTTCTTTCTTGGGTATCGATTTGATAACAATTATTCTTTTCTTAAATTTGAAAATGAAATGTTTGTTTATATTTTGGATTAAATTTCATTCTGTGGTCCTGTTGGAAATAAAATTTTCGCTATCTGTCACAAATCTGAATTGGAATCCAATTTTCTCTTCCGGTGTTTTTCAAAGTTCTTTTTTTTTTTTTTTTTTTTTATATAATGAACTAATCGCAGTATATTTTTCAAATGCTTACACATTTTATAACATTTATTTTCGTGTTTGATCTTCACCTTACCTTAGTTAGTTCTCTCTCGACTGATTTGCTTTTGATAAAACTTGCAAATAATAATAGATTTTTATTGATAAATTTTCTATCCGATTTGACACACTGCAAAACATACATCTTTATTTCTAACTTGTTTTATATTACAGTTTTTAATGAAATTTGCAGCTGAGGATGGTGTTTCGGTAAAACCATCGAAACTAGTCCTGTGAAAATTTTGAAAATATAACGCTGATTTCTGTTGTTTAACTTCTGAATTAGTATTTATTCGGCGTGTTATTGTGTCTTAATTATATCTCTGCTGTTTCAGATAATTATTATAGGATGCCCGAAAATTATACACCATGCATGTGAAAGTAACTGGCTTTAATTTTCGAAATCATTGTTCTTATACATATACTTAAAAGGCCCACCAGCGGCCGAGCGGTAAAGTCGCTGAACACTGGTAGTTCGGTCCGAGGTTCGAATCCCGCGAACGGGCTGGCTGCATGGGCGTTTTCGTGGTTTTCCCCATGTGTAGCGTGTATACGAGCCAGTTTTCCTTAGAAAGTCCTCCATGAAGGCATC